CTGTAATAATACTGTTTGTAAATAAACTCCCAGTTTTCCCCTTCGTTCTGATGCAAAAATTATGGCATTTCATCCATTATTTACTGAGTTAATAACTTTTGAAACTGTTGCCTTCTTTATATATTCCTGTATGAGTGAAGAGTTAGGCTTCTCTTGGCTCACACTTATACGCCTGCACATTTTTTCCTCTCTTGCCTCTTGTCGTTCCACCAAAGTTTTCCTTGGTCTGTACGTCCCCCACGAGTCCTGCATATGGGAGCAGAGAAATGCTTCGGCATGGCTTCCACATGGTTTGACAGGAACGATTGACCCCAAAAAAATGTATTCAAAATGTGCCGCAACAGCAGCGCCAGTTTCCGCACCTTGGCTATTTGCTCCTGGGAGGGAGGAGTCCATCAACTACTCCTACACCCTAATTATTAATTGACACTTCGGACTTTACCTGCGAAGCACGCAGTCGTGTTATCTTCGACTCTGACGAGAGGAAATGTGTGAAAAATAATAGTGATAACAGGGAGACTCACTGCAGGCTCCATCATCTCCACGTATCGGTCTATGCACTGACAGAATTTTCCCGAATCTTCCTCGAAACACTCAGAATTTGGGACTGCGGTCTCACACTCCGCTGTGTCTGCACAGATATATCCAAGACCTCGTGTGCCTTCTCCCTCTAGGAAAAAATGACTTTCATATTGTTGTGTAGCCCTATGCACGTAGTCTTAGAGCTCATAGACAAATTTCACTAGATAAATTTAAAATCCTTGAAACGGTAAGAGTAGCTCATCAACTTTGCATGTTAAAATCAACTGTGGGGTCGCTAAAACCAACTCCATCGTTCTGCAGGGTGATCGAAAAGTCCCGCACACCAAACTAGTGCACACCAAATAAAATATACTGCAAATACTACTACTCCGGATAGTCAGAGAATATGTTGGAAATGCCCACCACGTTCTTGATAGCATGCGTTGATATGGTTGTACTAATTTCTGTAAACGGAAAAAGTAGGTCTATGTGGTTGGTGTGCGTGGCTTTTTGGATCATCCTGTACTTTGTTTTCAAAAATTTTTCCCTTCTTATTTTTATGGTAGTAGCGTTTGCTACTTCTGTTGTGAATTGTGAAACTTGGATTTTCCCAATTCCAGCAAGGAAACGAAGATACAATGGGTGTGCTTTAAAAATATGCCCAAGTCCTTATGGCTCAGCGGGGAGTAGCCATGTGGGCTTCGGGCGTTAAACATACCAGTATGTGTTATTTCAAGCCATACATTGAGCCACAAGAATATATCAATACTTTTTATAGGCACCCTATATATTATATGATGCGTTTCAGAGTGGAAGAGGAACCCTAAATTAATTTTTTGAGGAGAAACAAACATGCAACAGCGATTTTATTGCAAACCATAGACATGGGCTTTGCCTGTAGTTGGTTTTTTTTTTTTTTTTTACCAGACCTGTGTTCGAAATTTCGTTCTGTTGTTTCGTTGTTACTGAAGCATTTATTTATTTCCTACGGTTAAGAGACAGCATATTTGGATTCCACTCAATCACTCATAGGCAACCACAGCACTCACGTGAAAGTCCATAGATGAACGGCAAGATGGTTGATGTGTAAAGCGTCAGCCAGGTATTCATTTTTAGCGAGATTGTCGTCAAAAATACGGTTCCACGGAAGACTCCACCAAAACGCCCCACGGTACTTGTCGTTCCAGAAGGTGATAAATGATAATGATCTTGTCTGTCGATTCCGTGGCCGTCCTTCTGCCCACCCGATCAAGCGGTGACAAGAAACTGCTGCTTTGGGTTTTTCCCTTCTGTTACCTTTATCTCACCCTAAACCTTATCTTTAGAGTGGAAGTTCTCTTTTGATTCGCGCTACAACCCCAGCTTCTGTCGACGTCAGTGCGAATCCCTTTTGTTTATTTAAGATATAATTGTGACTAGCGCATGTGACAGGAAAGGAATATATTCAACTCTCTTGCCCTCTGACTTGAATGTTAATAATTCAATTTGGATGCGTGCCAATTGATTCGAAGGGTTGTAGCTGTTTTCCCATTTTGTGAACGGGGTATGGAGCATCGTTCTTGGAATGGCGATATGCAAGGAAATTGAAATGAAACTGACGTCGTCAAGGAAACCAGTGGAAGAAGGCCATAAAGCGATGAAATGCATAGCATATCCTATTGGCCTGATTCCAAATGTTTTCTTAGCCTCACCGAGAAACTGCTAATTTAAGACTGAAGTTCACATCCTCACTACATTCGGGAACAGCAATTTATGAAATGGACGAAAATATGGGAATTGCAGTCAACCTAGGACCTCTGGAAAAAAAAATCACCACCAGGGATATTTTGGAGAGCCCATATCTCGAGTGTTAATTGTGACGTAACAAGTGATCAATACTCTTTGATCCCCTGCCCTGTCCCAGATTCGAGTGTCAAGGCAGGTTCGTCCAGACAGAAATTCTGGGAAAATGGAAATTCTCGTGATCCTTCCAACAAAGTACTTAACTTTCTTTAAAATAAAGACAATAATGAATTATCAAAAGAAACAGTTATCCACCGTACTTGTTAAAGAATTTAACAACAATAAATCTATCCAAGTATTCTTTTGACACTTCAAATAAAACGGAGTTTCTTTAATAGGATAATAGTAATCAACGTAACAATTAATATTGGATGGTAGAAGGATCCGACTGGGGACAATTCTAACCTTGAATGAATGTTATTTACCTTACTGTTCTCTCTCTCTGTTACTCGGGCCACACTCCTCACATAACCAAGAAACAGGGCTATCCTTACAGGTGGTAGGTTGTCATTGAGTCAGCTCCACTAAGGTCACAGTGGTGCCTTCCAAATAGCGACGGACTCCAGCGTCCAAGTTTCTCGCTAATATCCTTGATACCTCCGGGAGGAGCCAGGGTACCCTCCTCAAAATCCGGGATCCAGATTGGATATGCAATTTGGCCCCCTTTTGTCCCATTGGCTAATTTTGAGTGTTGGCCTCGACTTAACTTATTTAGGCATCAGGATCTTGCGACTTTCTCATTGTCTTCTATGGATTTCGTTTTATGTGTTTGTCCCAGTCGGTTACAGGGTTGTCCCATCCTCCTGGTGATAACATACCATCATTCTTACATTAAAATTAATTATTGATAATAGCATGTATTTTTGTCAGATTCCTTATGGATTGATTCAATAATTACATCGTAAAATTAAGTTGTAAAACTCAAAACCGTTTTCCTTAACATGCAATATCATGATTAACAATACACAAGATAGAAAATTTCATGTGGTTTATGAAATAATTAACAATATTCCACCTCAACTCGACACAACATGATAAAGGGAAGAGGAAAATGATATGGAAAATGTTAAGTAGAAAAGGATGAGATTCCTGCAACTCTTTCTCACACTTCAGGAGGAATACATAGTATCAATTCCTCCTTCCCCTCTTTTATGTCGCTGACATGTCCGGAGATAGGACTTGAGAAATTTACATTCGAGTATGTAATCGTTAGACCTAGAGGATCGCATGGTTCATAGCACTTCGCATATTACAGGGTGTTTCAAAAGTCCGTACTCGTTGGTATTTTGAATCAATTGAAGAACAACTGGCTTCGGGCCAGTTCTTCATCATTCAACGGTATTGCGCACCTGCCCACAGGGCGAGAGAAACCATCGAAATGCTGGCACAACTAACGCCGGACTTGATTCCCCCAATCCTATTACCCCCAAACAGTCTGGATCTCTATCCGGTTTATTTAAAAAAATTGGAGAGTCCTACAGGAGAGAGTGTTCTGCAACAAAGTGGATAACGTCGACATCCTGAAACAGAAGTTACTATAAGAGTTGCGACGCTTGGAGTTGAGCATCATAGATGGAGTAATTCGGAAATGACGACAGCGGTTGTATGCTTGCGTTCGAGAACCTTGGAGCTATTTTGAGCGCATGCTTTGACCAAATAGACGGTTTCTGCTGAGTTCGAAGCAAATCCATATATCATCTATCCACATTCAGTGTTCAATAAATTGGGCTGATCAGATGATAGTAATCATTTTAAAAACAAATTGGCAGTTTTTTTGGAACCCTTGTTCCCAAGAAAAAACTGCTGAATTGTTACTGGCACATGTACCAGGTATGAATTTCCTTCGGATTGGAAAAAAAAAATTCGTTACCAAAATAGGTGATGAAGGAAAAACACCTAGCCCTCTGCCTCTTTGTTATGTCGCACACGGACTTCGAAGCGAACCCATCAGCGGGCTGGTATGACAAACATTTTTACCTATCGAGCTTTAACTGGCATAGAACGTGATACAATGCGTCAAATTTAAATTAGGTACATGCCATATTTCTTCTGTTCACATATAGTGCTTAAAACATTGAGTTAATCTAATTAAAATTACTTTTATTACTAGCGGAAATGATTTGGCACAGTTTTTTCACACCTTGTAGTTACTTCCTTGGGTAACATTCATTGATCCCTTTGATCCATATTCCATGAGTTGTCTGGGCTAGCGCACTTCCATTCTCTTACATTCAACTTCTTACCCATGTCCTCCAGTCTTGTATATATTTTAAATTAATGCATCCTTTTTTCGGGTAGTGGACGTTTCACAGAAAATCGTTTCGCAGACGAGACCTGTTCGCCGAAAAACTTTCTAATTTATTTTACTGCTTAGCAGAACAAAAACAAGTATCCCCGGTGCCTGTTTTGAAATGTATAGCCTGGAAATTCGAAACCCCTCTATTTTAAGGTTTGTCAAAGGAGTTTTTAAGAGTAAAATGAAGTAAATTATCTAATTGGGCTAGGTCTGTATCAAAAGTTTCAAATTGCAGGTGATTCCTCAAAGAAAGTCACCCAGATCCTTGATGTGGAAAATCTGAATGACCTCAGGGAACCTGAGTAATCAGGATCCTTATGTTTCCTTCTACAGATACTATCGCAAAACGAGTACTATCCCGTTTATTTAACATCATGGCCAACTGCTGTAGAAGGAGAGATTAACTAAACAAAGCCGCAGATATGGAGGCGATGGCGATGATGCCTCTAGAGATGGTTTCCTTCACGCCGGAATCAACTGCGAAAAAGAAAGAAATAATAACGTCACTCATAGTCACGCACCAAAAAAATAACTGCAAAAGTAAATGTTTCACGAGCCTATCCGCACTTGAAATATAATATTGACTCATCGTTCAATTCAAATCAATGAAGTCCAGCTCTAAGTGACAACATATTGAAGAGAATTAATACAAATCAACGTCTGAGGATGATTTTGCAAATTTTTGCTCGTGTATTTGATCTTTTGGGATTCATAGTACCTTGCACAATCATGTTCACTGTGAATAGGAGTATCGGAACATCCAAGTGGAAGAAAGAAATTTTCGAAATTATTCAGTCATGTTAAAAGCATGACTTTGAAGTTTATTTTTGGAAGTGACAGCATTATGTGGTTGGAGCTTCTACAATCATATTGAGAGGTGGAAATAATATCACCCATGTATTTGAAGCATGCAATACTTTTTCAGACCAGCTGAGAATAGAATAGGGAAAATTTTGTCTCCTTGCTGCTAAGATACCGGCGTGAAGGTCGATCACTTACACCCTCGATGTTTTGCATTTACAATTCTTCAGTCTTTCTAGAACGACAAACTTTATCCTCAGTTCTTCAGCTGCAAATTTGCATTCCTCCACCTCCAAACAAATACATATATTCGCGAGTTTTTGAAATTTTCCGACGTTACCAACTTGGAGGTCGGAAAGGGGGAAAGCCCTTTGAAAAATTATGTTCACATTACTTTAATTTACTTATTCCTGGAACATCTTTGAGTGAGGCAAATTGCTTTCCTGGCTTTAAGTACATCAGCGTCATCAGCTCACAATCTTTGGAAAATATTATTTTGCTGAATGCTGAAATAAAATTACTAAAATTGTCCCTATGAGTCCTGGTGGCAAAGGCAGAATAAATTGCACGCGCTGAGCTCGTATGCTCATAATTTAGTCATGCTTTATATACCTGAATGACCAGCCCAATATTCGGAAGCCTGTATCACTACGGTGAGAAAAACTTGTGAAAGTTTGTTTACTTTTCTTTCTCTTACCTTTTTTTTCCAATTTAGCTCGAAGGTTTCAAATGAATATTAATACTCACCACACATGAGCTCCTCAGCAATAAATGCACCAGAACACTGGCATGTATTTATCCCATCACTTTCAATGCATTCTGCATTTTCTACGGCACACTCCACATCTTTTGTGCATTCTTCGCCCAACATGGGGGACCCTAAAAAATCAAAGAAATAAATATGGAGTATTCTCATAAAGGTATAGGGATACGTATCATGATAGGAAATGGTATGTCGAACGCATGGATATGTGTACGAGATACCATTCCTTTTCCTTTTTAGTTCTTTGGGATGAAAACGTGGGACAATATACTATTTCAGCAACAACCACTAGTACTTATGAATATATAAAAAGTCAAATCTTTCTTTTCGACCCACTTTCAAGTGAAAGAGAAATTCTTGAAGAACATAAAAAAACATTACATAAAAACACATTGCACATAAAAAAGATATTTCCAAATAGAATCGGTGTCCGATCTCGCGAGCTGTGAGACCAGTTATGATAATTTCTTCGGCGATTACTCAGTTATGCCATGGAAACGTGAACATTACATGGACTTGTACAGATAAGTTTCAGAGGTCATTCATTTCAGTTCAGCCATATGCTACGTTGCCACCTTAATATGACATCACCCTGTCACGTGATGAAGAGTTACTAGTTTACACATGGACGTGGCAAGAAACTGGATTAGAAATAGGAAAAAAATACAGAGTTACAAAAACTGGTTCCTGATTCACTTACTTATTTTTAAAAAGCTATGGTGACCTTGGGTGACCCTATTCTAACACACTCTGGAATGCTGTTATCTCTCCTGACCTTTGAAATAGGATTTCTCGAGGTAAAATAATTATTCTGTATATATGTCAATGAAGACTTTCGGGGTGGAGAATATGATTCAGCTCCAGAGAGTTATGAATGATGACTCACTGCATTGTCCAGTGGTGTTGTCAGCGACGTAACCACGGTTGCATTTGCATTTGTGAAAATCAGTTTCAAGTTCCGTGCAAGTGGCGTTGCTCGTGCAGTCTGCCGCGTCCATCGTACAGTTCTCTCCAGCTTTCCTCTCTGAAAAGAGAGATCAGGCATCCTCATCAGGATCTCCACATGTTTGACTTAGTGTCCCCCATTCGTTGCATTCAATGGGATTCATTGATGCAAGTGATATAATAATTTATTGAGCCGGTTAATTCGCGTTCCTTAAATTCATCAAATTTGTTTGTCACAGTACAGGGTTTCCGGTAATCACTTCGAAATATTTACAGCCCTGCAAGCGTTTCGTGCATTTCTTTTAACCCTCATCCGGGCAAGCTTTTTTACAACCTATTCCGGGCAAGGTGAGTCTGTCAGACTCACATGTAAAATAAGGCCGTTTGCTGCGGTTACGGTATGTATTTATTTGTAAATTTCTTTGTATTTTTGAAGTTGTATTTGTTTGGAGGTGGAGGAATGCAAATTTGCAGCTGAAGAACTGAGGATAAAGTTTGTCGTTCTAGAAAGACTGAAGAATTGTATTTTTGAAGAGCACGAACAAGGTGACTAAGTCACGAAAGCTCATTTTTCTACAAAAAAAATAATGACAGTAATAGACCGAAATATGTCGTAGTGAGTCCAGCGGACTCACCTTGCCCGGATTAGGGTTAAATTGAGCTCCACACATATTCCAAGTTGATCCAACAACTGGTTTTTAAGACGTAAGAAGATTTACATATTACAAGAACGAGGGGAGGTGCAAAAGTAGTGAGACTTCGTAATTATGTTGACAGGACTACAAGGGTCTATTTTCGCACAAAGGTATAAATTATTTATTTAGGTAGTCTTTCTGCCTCGATACCAACTATTCCATCTGTGGTTTCGTTTATCGAAAGAAAGACAACAAAAGAAAGACAGACAATAAAAGCACGAGTGTCACTACTTTTGCACTTCCCCTTGTATATACAACTTCTTTCGCAGCTGGATATTCAAAATTCACGGCATCCTCGAGCGCACGATTACTTCATCTTCGTAAATATGTTGATTTTGTTCGTCAGCGTTACGCAGAAATCGAAATATCCTTATGTTCTGCCTGGACGTTCACCTCTTTTCAATCTCACCAGGACCTGATATCAAGTACTTTTAAGCTTAATTCGATTTCATCCCGATCGTTGAGAGTCTAACCACTTCGGCACATAGAGGGCGTACACGGCTTTACTTAGAAATAGCTGCCATCAGCAAGGAGATTTCACCAAGCCTTCTCTTCATCAGCATCATCTTCATCTTCAAATCGTATCGCACCCGTGCCCTCCATTAAACTCACTCTAAAGAGATAGTTTATTCACATTAATGTCCCGTCCCTTGATTCCACAGTATGATATTCCACTACATATAATTTTTTTACAAAAACAAAGTTTTACTTTCCAAGCCACCAACAGCTTATCCCGGAGACCAAAGATGGTATGCCAATTGAAAAAGGTACTCAGTCCTCCTTCATTTAAATTACGACGTAGATGGAAATACTGTCTGGCAGCTCCTCCATAATTGCTTCTCATTTCCCTCATTAGAGCACAAAATGAATCCTTCTGTTACATCCTATTGTTCGCAATGTGAAGAGGACGAAGCCACAATGCACATGTCCCTGGCGTGTCTTGGCTTGTCCTGCCTGAAAGAATACCTTCAAAACATATTGTGCAAAATTTCCTGCGATCTAAAAGTAAACTCTAAAATGTTTGTTTTTATCGTTTTCCTGAAAGGGGTTAATTTTCAAAAACAAACATAACATCAGTCGACTCCCTGTTGACAGCGACTATAAAAGTGCTACATATATCAAACATAACTTTTTTTAAATATGATATCTAAACCAGACTATCCATGTTTTCCAGAAAAGACTGAAGAGGAGGGAGGACTCCCAACTATTTTACGAACAAGAGAATGACCAGGGACGGTATAAGAGCCTCTTGGGACCACTTGCAGACATTGACCACAATAACTAGCTTGTCTTTGCATCTGGAGTGATCGCGACAGCTGGACAAGGTGAAACGTGGAGTGCATCAGCAGAGAGGGAAGAGGTTGGCACGGGGGCTTTCTCCTGCATTTTTGACGGAAAGGGTAGCACCCGAATAGCTGTCATGCCAAAAGAAGGTTCAGATCCTTCTGAAGGAGGGGTCCTCAATCCTGAACTAACTTCAATCTTCTCTATGATTTTCTCATCAATCGCATTAATCGCTTCAGATCAAGCAGTACTAGGACGGTATCTTCCACATTCGCACCCGGGATTCATTCATAAATAGTTGCTAAATTTTCCCTTTCATGACATCTCGATAAACGGGAGCGAGAATGCACAGGGGCGGCTTTCCAACCGTTGATTTCATGACTGATAACCGCTTTTCCCTCAACCCTCTAAAAGAGGTTACTTCCAAGTTCACTTTCCCACCCTGTGCAAGGCGGATACTGAAAATGACTCAGAGTGGATAGAATCATTCGTGGAACTTCGTGGATTAACCTTCCTATTCTGTTCGGGTCTATATGACCCGAAACACTGATTCAACCTGATGTAGCTTCTATGTATTTCACCGAAAAAAGCTGAAATTTTCTTACTTTTCCTAACTTTTCGAATATATTTACGACTTCAAAGGCGAACTCATTTCCACGAAGCATTAATGAAATATTTGTGATACCCCCTCCTGTTATGCTCGGGTCTATTTGACCCGATTGCAATACTAGTGCATTTTCAACATGGGTTACACCATCTTGGATCTTCTTGGAACAAGTTTCCGGAGCAGTTGCCCTTGAGAAATGTATTGATTCTCAAAGTCAAGTGTTCTGGCAGTTTTGGGAAATTGCGGATTCATTCTGGTTTATGCTACACGGGCCCATCCGGGTCGCCGTGTGACTTCTTATTGCGTTACATCCTCTTGGAGCATTTTCTTCGCCTCGTCCTTTTGTTGCTGCGTTAACCTTGGCATATCTCTAATGTTTTTCAGAGACGGTATGAAATACACAATGGAATCAGCCCTTTTTCGTTTATGGAAATCTGAACTTTACATAGGACATGGAGAAAAACTAATTAGACATATTCCTGACGTGGCACATGCACAGCGCTCAAAGGCTAACGAGCATACGCTAATAATGTTCAAGAGGTGTTGACTTGTTCAGCAAAAGACAGATATAATGCCATCACAACTCCTACTCTGCGAGCGAGCCCTTTATTACCTTGTAATATTTCTTTTGGGTGCCAGTATATTATGATTTGGACACCTTGGTCTACAACGCATATGTGCTGTGGACTCCAAAAAAAAACCAGGATGGCACTAGAACAAACTCTTCAAATGAAGATTGTTCTTAGAAGAATTGGACATGCAGTTCTTTTGCCCATTGCTAGAGAAAGGAGAATGTTTTTCACGCACACCGTTCTCTGCTCCCGTCGTCATTTCTGCACGACTGCCTAGAACACGCAATGACTCGAGCTCCTTTGCTAGACTGAGTTCAACAAGAAGCAAAAAAGAGCCGGATGTACTTTTTGTCTCTCCGCTTATGACAAAAAAACAGGCATCAACTGAACGTCGTATGGAGAATATATTTGCAATTTGAGCCCAAGTGCGCTTCATGTGCCTTGCAAAATCAGTTACAAATAAGGGTTTGTCGCAATTGACAATTTTGGAAATCAGTTTTTGTTGGAACTTTTTGGAATTAACTCAGTGTTAACAATAAATAGGTATGCAAACATAGCTAATAAAATAATGAGCACATGTGTGATAAATCCTTTTGCTATAAGAAATCATGAAGCAGCAAAAAACTCAAGCGAATTCCTATTCAAATAAAAGGAAATGTATATCTGGTCAGGGTGACCCGAACGTAAATGGTGTACCTAAAATGGGAACAGAATAGGAAGGTTAAGAAATCATGATGTTATGAAGCAGTCATATAATGATGGTATATAAAAAAAATTAAATAATGAGGCTAAAGAAAATAACAACTGAACTGCATCCGAAGGAACAAATGGTCTACGAAAATGACACCACGTAATATATACAGGGCTTTCATATACATTGTTATTATCAATTTCGTGAGTCTGAAATAGATAAATAGATTCTGAAGACGATCAATCCGAGCCTCCCAGTCTCAGTATTTCTATTCCTCCCCCATCCTGGCACCCCCAGTCTCTAGCATTACCAACCGTGATTCCATGTGTGATTGTTCCTTTAAATATAAGCCATGAGTTCAAAAAAGTTTAATCTTTTGCGATCCACTGTCGGATATAGTCCAACAATTTCAATGGCGTTACAAACAAAATGGAACGCAAAGGGTTAAGTTCCTCTTCCGGGCCTGTCAATATCCATATTACAAAGGGAGTGGCTGTGAAACTGGGAGTTGACCTTGCCTCCCCTTCTTAGGGGTTGTGGCAGACATGGGTATCGGTCATGAAAATCCACGATGGGAAAGTCGCCCTTATGCACTTTCGCCCCAATTTGGTTAGGTCAAAGATTAAATCACATCGTTGTGATTATTATCAATCAGAATGCGGGTGCGAAATTCCATTGGGGCGAAAGTGGAGGGTAACCACATCGACTACATGATGTCCCATAATTGTTACACAACCGTTCTACAAGTAAAGTGTACCATGGTTGGTGGCATTTCGGATTGAAGACATATCCAAAAGTTTCTCTATAAACCTGGAAGATACTTGCTAGTATCGCGAGACAAAGGTGGAATCTGGAAGGTAGGGAAGGATGAGTAGCAATATACCCCGGAAATAATGCAGATTGGCCAAGAGCTCTTTGTAAGTCGAAAGGTCAAAGCGCAGCCAGTCGATAGGCATGACCGTGGTATTAAGATGAGTCAACTTCCGGTGGGCAGGAGAGTAGGAAGGACAGCTCAAAACAAAGTAAACTATACACCAATAGCCTCCCTGGATCAAGCCCTTCAAGACTTTGTATGTTACTTCACCTGTTCCGGATTTGGCGATAAGTGAGAATGCCGCCGAAATTGGGGGGTTTTGGTACTCTTGACTCGGAGAACGGTTTTTAATGTTTTGTGACACCTCACAATATACAGTCGACTCCGCATAATCGAATACCGCTTAATGGAATATCACTGCACGGTCCCGATTTTTCTTTCATATGGAAAACATTATGGAAAACTTCGCATAAAGGAGTACGGTTATTCGAATAATCCGCTTCAAGGAATAAATTTCCTGAAATATGCAATACTTTTTTCATTTCATTGCGAAATGAAATACTTTCTTCCCTATTCGCATTGTTGGAAAGTACCTTCCGGCCCTTCCCCAGTCCTATCCCCCCGCATCGTAGAACCAAGGTCATGACTTCCCACTTGACTTCCGTGAATCGAGGGCGGAACGGGAGGGAAGGCAAGCACATCCTTTCCTATAAACAAAATTGGGGTAAGTATAGGCTGCAGATGCGGAAAAGAGGCAAATAAGCCTGCCTTTTTTTAAAGGCGAAAGTGAAAGAAGGTTTATGAAGTATGAATTGAGCCTATAGGCATCAGTTCTGCACATTCCGAGTTGACCATGTAGAAACGGAAAGACCTCAGCCTGGCCGAAAATATTGCAGTTCTGAGAGCTCATCGGGACGAAAAGACGACGCAAGCTGAACTGGCTCGATAGCTTGGGATCCCAGCCCCAAGTTTCAAAGATCACCAAAAACAAGGTAGCAAAATATCGTAATGCGCAAAACGAATTCTTAAAATTGGTGAATGCGCAAATACAGGTACAGTACATCAGGATATACATTTTAAAATCTGCCTGAAGTACGAAGTAGAAGTACAGTATGATTGTTTCGATTATTGGAATAGTCCGGATTGTAGAATAAAGTTCAGTAGTCCCGTGAGTATTCCACTAAGCGGAGTCACTGTAATTTTTTAAATTTCCATTCAACCATGGCCATGTGTAAACGTAGACAATAAAGAACATTTGAAATCTCGCCAACATTACACAGGAAACATTTTTTTTCTTTATTGTTACTTCGTCAGAAAATACAAATGCTAGATTCTCTTAGAAGGCTTCCCCAGGAGGATTTTGCTTTTTCTATGCCAAATGGTATCAGTTACCATGAATAAATAGCAAGAATAGTGGTAACGATTCAATGAGGATTATTATCCCTATTTTCACCTATTTTGTTCGATTCTCTCAAAATCTGCTAAAAACTGCTGATGTTCTCCTCAAATAAAATGTCCTACCATTATTTTTTTACGGGAGGAAGCGTAACATATACCATGACGGGTTTCCCACGTGCATACTGCATATCAAAGACACAATTATATGAATAGTTATTGCATTATCAACGAGAGCTCAAAGATTCGCTTCATTCAACCCTAAAAATCCAAAGTTGCAATCCGAAAGTTGCAACGATATGAAAACGTGAATCCAGGTGTGTGTAGAGTCGTTCATTCTCGTTGGGTATCTTTCCAAATTAATTTTTCGCAACGGCGGATGAAGCGCTAGTGTCGATCTCAGTGAATACTTCTGAAGCATGTGATTGCCATCAACAAGAAATACTTTTAAACAGACTGATAAAGCGTTACGACTCACTGCAGTGTTCTTTCTCGGCCACGAATCCCGTGTTGCACGTGCATACTTGATTGATAGCAGTCTCGTTGCAAACGGCATTATCCACGCAAACGTCCGATTGGGCGCATTCCCCTCCAACTGGCATCTCTGCACAAAGAATAATAATGTTACGTAAGAGCTTTGATTGGCGCTTCCCGACGGCAGACAGCAACGCCGTCAGGAGACGTAATATATTTCTTAACTGCCTTGGTGCAATGATTGATCCCACAATGCTTTCACTCGGTAACACAGTGGCATCATTGTAATCGCTCGTACAACACACGTAACCCAATGTTGCATCGTGTCCACGCTTATGGAGACGTATTCTGATAACATTCCGGATCAGAGGACACATGGGGTTGGCATTGCGCACTACCTCCGACATTATTATGAAACTTTGGGTTTCTGCGAACAAGGAAATCATGTTCGAATGGTTGTTGGTTGGAATGGGAACTATAAAAAATGTATATCTGCGTCCTCCACATACGTCGACATACTGTAATACAGGGTTAAGCGGGAATGCGAGGGATGGCGACTTACTGCAGAGTCCTGCTTCCTCCACGAATGAAGTATTGCATTGACATTGAAGATATCCCGTAGTTCCAACGCAAACGGCGTTATTTACGCACTTTTCTGCTAGCGTACAATTCTCTCCAGCTGGTATATCTGCGAAGAGAAATAAATATTGCAGAGTGGCATTTTACCGAGTGGATTCACGAAAAAAGTGCCTCGCCAACGGAGAACCATGGTCCCTCTCTGGTCATTCTGTCAGCTGTTACCAGCCAATGATGGTTGTAGAGACCACGGAGAGAGATAAGTCACGAAAGAAGCTAGGTCTTAGGGAATGCTTCCGATCGTCCCATGATTCATCGCCTACAGTAGTACCTCTACCCCAATCTAAAGTTGAAGGATCAGCAAATTTAGTGCTACAGTGGACCGTACTCCATCAACCTTTAAGGAATGCTTCAATTGGTCATGGAAACGCTATAGGCGGCAACAGCTAGTATTTCCGAGGTTCCCTTTACTCTTTAGTGTGTCCAAGACAACTTTTCATTAGCTCCTGTATTTCTGCCCCCCCCCCCCCAAGTACGTATACCATTCTAAAATGAAATACATAGTAATGATTTCATGTCTGAAATAAAAGCACGACCTCGCGAACCAAACAAGCGTTTCTTTTAAGTAAATCCGTTGGAAACAATACCTTCATATAGTGGAATAACTTATAATTGACTCTCAGTAACGTATAGACTAATGCGGTGCGTATCCACACAATCGCAGTGCAGAAGTATTGGAAATGAAAATAACTCCTCCTTTTGTACTAGTGCTTCAGTTCTGTGTTGATAATGGATATGAGTCCATAGAATTCTGAGATTATTCATCTCATTAATATGTATCATATAAAACATACCTGTAATTTGAAACCGCCAATACGTAAAACATTTGTGATATATGGGAGCAGGTATGTAAAAAAGTGTACTCATGTCAAGTTGTTATCTATCACTTCACATGAGCCAGGCTAACAATGCTGTCTACGCCGACTTATTCTACCCCTTCCTCTGATCTTCTATAAGGAATTCGTTAACTACGAAGGGAACAGCAAGTTTCATTCGGGGACAGCTCAACCCTACTCCGTCTGAGCGATGAGCCTACGCCTTCAGGGCGAGATTCATTAAGACCGATTAACAGCAAGAAAAACCCCGACTTCAAAACTCCCAAGAATGACTTTGTTCGGCTCGAATTTGCAAACACCGACCTTTGCTTTCATGTCTATGTGTAAAAGTTCGCTAATTTTCACAGTGATCCTATCAAAATTTTTCGTTATCTTCGTGGTAGGAAAGTGGAAGACAGACGAATGCATATATACAGACAGGACTGGACCATAAGTGGCATCTCTCCTTTTCGAGAAAGCACAGCCGCTAAATAAAAAAATAAGAAGAAATTTAAAAGATGCCATGCTACTCACAGCAGGCGCCTCCATCTTCCACGAATGCGTTCAAACACTTGCATGTAGCAAGGCCTCCTTCATTACCGAGACATTCCCCGTTAGGGATTTCTTCACATCCAGGTCCCGGTGCAGGAATGCAGTCTTCACCTAAACTGGGAAGTCCTGTAAATGAAATAGGACCAGGTTAAACGAAATAGGACCAATAGGCCCAGGTTTTGACATAACTGAGAGGGAAGGTACACTAAGATGCAAGAGTCTTTGCCCTTCGCAAAAGCCAACTTTCTGGAAGCATGTCTCCGGAAATATATGGAGATTTTCCGAGAACTTTCCAAGTGAGGAAGAGTCTATATCAGCAGTGCCCATCTCAATTTGGCGAGGATCAAATGATTTGATTCAAGTGTGTTTGAGGGCTTTACTAACGAATCTCACAACACGTGCACCACATTTTTTATGCGAACAAGTGAAATTGACAGCAATTTTACGAAATCAACTGTTAAAAAGGAGTTCACAGGCCGGAGAAAATAAATTGGCGGGCCGAATCCGGCCCGCGGGCCGCCAGGTGGACACCTCTGGTTTATATGTAGCTGTGAAAACCGCAAATCGGCATAAACATTCTTGAGTTGGGAGAAAATGCCTGAACGACGAAATCCTACTTTGCCGAAAACAAAGCGATCAACTATTTTCCATTTTTGGAACAACGCCATAGATATCCTACCACAATTGCTCGTCTGACGAAGATCCCCGTTCGGGCTGTCGAGTACAATATTGCCGAGATCAAAGAACGAGGCACATTGGAGAACCAACGCCGATGTGGCCTACCCCGCAAGATCACCGCCGCAGACGACAAGTAATTTGACCAGTGGATTCAACGAAACCATGAGACAACGCGAAAGAACTGGCACAAAAGTTGCTTCACTGCCAATAGGCCACTGCCACTGCGACGCCAATGCTGACAGAAGCACACATATGCGCGCGTCCAGTGGGTGATTCGACACGAGAACGACGATTAGAGCCGAACTGTATTCACCGATGAGACCCCCTACCAACTATTCAAAAACACGATTCGTCGATGGAAAAATCCAAGAGTCGAGGTCAAGCGAATCCCGAAGAACAGGCACAAGATTATGGTGTGGGACGGCTTCAGTGTCATCCGCCTGGTTGGGGGTCATTCGTTCAAGAGAAATATGAATTGCCCATACTACGTTCACATCCTTCAAGATCACCTCCACCGTAGCGCCAGAAGGTAGTTCGGTCGACGCTGGCGACTATAGCAGGATAACACCCACAGAAGTCGAGTGACAATGCAGTTCCTACCCGAGGTAGTACTCGAAACGATTGACTGGCCGTCGAAAAGTCCCGACGTCGATCCGATCGAGAACCTCTAGTCGATCTCACAAACAGCGTGTCGAGAAGCGGAAACCATCAAATCTCGAGGAACTGAACAGATTTCTGCACGAAGAAAGGGACGGAATCAGCTTGACCATTCTGTATCTTTAGGTCGGATCGATGCAAGCGCGATGCTCGGCTTAGATTGACTGGGTCAGCTATTAATTGTGTCACTTTTCCACCTTGTTCCATGCCTCATTTGCTAATAAATTAGTTTCGATATTCATCCCATCCACCCGAGAAATACTTGAAATACTGGAGCTAAATACTTTTGCACCTTAGAGTTATATTAGGGAGATGGATATAAGGGGGAAAAGACAGGGTATGCCAACAGCAGGAAACTGCAAACTTGCCCTTACCGTCTCGCACTCTAGGGAAGCGTTTAAATTATCGTAAAATATCAGTATTACTCGAGTTTGAGAGTGATTCGTTATAATCTGATTGGTGCAGTCTAAAAAAGTGTTACACAGTGTTAAGATGACAAGCTACGCCTTAGTAGCGATTTTCCAGGAATATATCAAGGGTCAAATTGGCGCACTCTTAAGTTTGGATGCTACAGCAAGACAGTGATACTTACTGCAGCTGTCTTCATTGTCCACAAATCCTGGTTTGCAAGTGCAGGCTTCCAAGCCTGGATCGCCAACACATGCAGCATTGGGACTTATACATGCACCTTCCCCTGGGTCACAATCCTCGTGGAGGCTTGCATTCACCTTCCCTGGAAATTCCATAATTTTGCACTCGAAAATTTTCATAATGGACATAATGGATTGTTGCATTGCTGAAGAAGCGTATGCATTTGCGTTGCTCTACCTGATTGCAAAAAACCAACCTAGGATATCAAACACTTTAATGAAAATTTGCATTGCTGAACAAGCGTATGCATTTGCGTTGCTCTACCTGATTGCAAAAAACCAACCTAGGATATCAAACACTTTAATGAAAATTATCACTCTGGGAAAGAGGCTTTTGTGCACCTATTACTTCCGTAAATCCGATGAGAGAATATGGGCATCACTGAAGAGAATATTCCTGTATTTGACGATTTTCTTTGTCTTTTAATGCATTAAATGGCGCTAAAGAAACAGAAAAGAGACATAAGTACTGACATAATTAGAGGCGTAATATTGCCATTTAATCCATTCACATTCACAAGCGCACTAGTGCACATCGTCTCATTTTCCTCCAACTAGCCTATAACCTAGAAAGACTTAAGCTCCGAGACCTTGCAAGTTAGGCCAAAGCAGTACATGATCAGATAGATCAGCAGATCAGATAGGCCAAAAAAAATACCTGGATGCGAATCGATTATTTAATAACTGCTAACCTCCCTAGAGAATGTTTGCTTCGGAAGAAAATTAGACAAATTCACATGCACGTGAGACACAATTGTGAAATTATGATGTGTGAGGAATGAGAAACGGATGCAAACTCACTGCACAAGCCAGTAGTCTTTTCTGGTATGTAACCTGGGTTGCATTCACACTTTGAGTCAGTGTTACATGCAGCATTCGATACGCAGTCTATGGAGTCTTTGCATTCTCCTTCCAATGGCTTTTCTACACATAGGAATAATAAAATCACAACTTCATGCTCAAATCATGCTTTTCACAATTCCACAAAAAAGGAGTTCCTGGTTTGATATTTGTAACGACAAACATTTCCACATGAATCCACGGTCTTCTTTGACCCCAATTAAACAAAAGGATTATGTTACATGAAATGATAACGAACCCTACGTTCTTGGAGAATTTCACTTCCTCATCGATAACTACCCATAAGTTACCTCCTTCGTTTGCCGAGCCTCATCTGACATTCGTGAGAAAATGAGAAACTTTTAGGTATAAATTCTTTCCTTGAGCTATATTCGCATTGAATGTCGACCCAGTAAAGGGAAGGCGGAAGGAGATACCGGAACGACTTTCACATCTCAGTGATCTCCACAACCCCGGGGAGATGGAGCTTCAAATTTGCTGAAGTGATTCTGTGTTGAGAGAGGAAGTATGCCAAATTTCATTCACGTCGATGCTCTCAGAAAGGAATACGAGACGGTTGAATATTGTCGCCGGAAGGGGTTGAAGAAAGGTAATGGGCGCTACCGCGCCCATTAATAACGCAGCATAGGAAGTTCCCTTAAGCGATGCATAGAGGGCGATCCTTATTTATACAGGATGTTACTGACATCCCTGGAAACGAATCCTTCTGCCCAGTTTGTAGCCTAAGAGAGTCTCATCAATCTTAGCTTTCCCCACGCGGCCTACAAAACTGCCATTCTAGGCCATAGGCTGGGCAGAAGAACCTACAGGTAAGTACAGGCACTTCCTTTACACCCTATTACACCCTGTAATACTAGTGTGGGAAACAGAATATTGGGATTTAGATAATCTCGAATTTGTAGGCATACATTCTACTATGATGATCTGTACATGCTGTTATCATGTATTCCGGAGCAATTCACTCGATGGCTAGTCTGCACATAAACTCACCAAAACGTCATGAATGACTGCGACCCTTTAACCCTTCTTCAACTGACAGCCACCAAGAACTCCACATTCTAATTTTTCATCATTTTTAAATATTATTTTTAACTCGTTGCTACCTTCGCCTGCAAGAAGTGCAACTGCGACGATCAGTGACTCCTACGAGGTAGTGTAACATCCATATCGACATTTCATCTGCAAAGAACTATCCACGGCAATTTTGGCCGGTTCGAAAGTGCCTGTCGCGACGACTTCGTACTTTCTCGGTGAACTTTTTGTCTCTCTTTAATGAACGAGGACTGGTACTGTTGAAAAGTTCTTCATATCGGAAACGTCCATTTTGAACAAATTAAGGGATGGTCTCCATGGACTTTCACTATATACTCCGTGTTCCGGCAAGATCGTACACGCATGCCTAACGAAGACTGGGGCACCTTTCATATTCAAGCTTGTGAGGGAGATGTAGCGGCCATGACAGGTTAGAAAAAGCTAGAATAACGATGCAAACTCCATTCCAATGGAAACTTCATTTAAATGATACGAGTAGGGAGTTCGAACATATGATTGAACAGATGGTAAAACGAAACAGTGACAAAACACAAATCAGGAGCGAAATGGAAGAGCACTCACTGCAGGCGCCATCGTCTGACACGTATCCACTCTGGCACTGGCATGTGGGTGAGCCCCCTCCATTCGAAAGGCATTCTCCTCCATTGAGGATGGGTTCGCAAGCTGGATCCCCGTCTGGATCGCATTCTTCGCCCAGTTTGGGGCGTCCTGTAAAAGCGTAATTTCAAGGGGAAAGAGAAGGATAATGTACTTAAAGGAAGGAAAGGGAAGCGCGACCTCCATGAAACTTTCTTACAATATCTATATTTTACGATGCCAACAAGTAGCAAGGAATAATGGGGCCAATGTGCAAGTTAAAAGGCCCTTCTAAGAATTTACTTTGCAAAGGCATTACTCCGTGCGCTTAATCCTTCAGATAACTTTCCTGATTCGGAATGGCTTCGTACCCTGGCTATAGTTTTTGGTGGTAGAAATCCAGTGGACGGCTTTGCATTCATTTCGTGAATATCATTGAAGACCAGGACGTCTGGATTCATGAAGATTGTGGTTCACTTTCGGGTTATATTAGTACTCAGATTGGTCTATACACTTTAACTTTAACAAATATTGTACTACAATGGATTGGTGATGCTTGTTCGAAAAACGCTCTAACTTTCCTCTATGTAATAATTGTCTATTAATAGATACTACAATGGTGTTATATAAGGTAGATTTTTAGAGACCTTGCATCATTTTGCATAGCATAAAGCATACGAAGATCCATCAGAAAGTTCCAGGATGTTGTCTCCAGGACGTTGTTGCTCTCCACGTTTGTAAAGAGCATGGAACACTGGCTGTAAGCCATTTTTCGCAATCACCTTCAACGCGTTGGTTGCAGCTGATTGGAGAGCGCCTGCGTCATATGTGTTCAGAAAGGACACCTCCTGACCTTTGTTGTAGACTCGACGGTGCATGCACCACACATTCACAACTGCCATCCAAAATGCTCTGGCAAGCACCATTTTGTACCGCATCTGCTAGTCATACTTGCAGGCCAACCTCTTCTCTGGTGATGGTCTTCTCCCCGTATGAAACTGTTGCATTCGCCGATAACGTGTGTGTAAGGAAGTTGAATTCGGCTCTTCTCTTGTCCGACTCCATCTCTCAATCTCGTGGATCGGTTCAAGGTTCGTGCGATTCCACCCGGGATACATTGCTGTTGTGTCTTCTTGGTGATAAGGTCCTCGCTCGTCTCGTCAAAGATGCGGTGGTAGCAATACATTCCTGCCTACCGAATGATTTTATCAGGAACTAGGAGGCAGCCTTTGATGCAGTCTTCTCCTTAGATGCCAGTGTGGTACGGTAGTCCCTGGACCGGAGATTCAGCGGGAGATGCAGGTTCAAGAAGAAGTTGTCGAAGGAAACGATTCGTATCTTTGCAGCTGGCTTCAGGCTTTGTTTTCTTCGGCTTCCTCATTGTCTAATGCAGGAGTACCCAAGATGCGGCCCGCGGGCCGCATCCAGCACACAAAGTGTCTTAAAGAACATTCACTTTGGGCACCCCTGGTCTAAAGCTTCCATGTGCCCATTCACGTCTTCGTAGTTCGCATCATTGTCCTTGTAGTCCATGCCACTGTTCCCTACGTCATCTGGGAAGGTAGTCACTGCGATACTGGGTGCATTCAGTTGTGACCTGGGTCAAGACTCGAGGTTCATGATTCTCGGCAAGTGCGGTGCTTTTCAAAAACTATTACACCCAGGATTGATGACATTGACAGGAAGTGTCACTATGGAGTAAAATTTATTTTGAAGCCTCAATGCAAGCGTTGAAGTGAGACCCTCGAGTCATGTCTCGGGTCACAACTGAATGCGCTCAATTTAACATACATTGTCGAACTAGGGATTCCCTATGATTGTTCGGATTTCTCAATCATCAATATGGGGCATTTTCCTTTTCACGTTTTCATGCATACCAGATTGGTTAATAAATAGGCAGTAGCGTAGCGCTGTAGGACCGATTCATTTAGGAGATTCCTCTGTCTTTTTTTCACAAACGGACTTCCAACTAATATGTGTAACGAATATGAAGCAAGCACGTAATCTTGCAGGTAACCGGATAAAGTTCTCACAACATATGTGAAATAGCGCATAAATTACAGCTGGAGTAAGTCATCGTTCGAGTGCTAGGACTTCTCAGAAAGATTCTTTATCTGCTCATGGAAAGCAAAAACGGTTTAATACAGAGAGTATTTTCTGAATGACATGAGTCAATTGCTAAAAGCTAAATAGCTAAAAGCCAAAGAACATCTGAGCGTTTATTCAGTTTTACGCTCATAACTCATGGACCAATTGAGTCGGGCCCACGTCAATTTTTACGTGATAAAAATTGACCTCCTAAGCATATGCAACTCACTCTAAAATACTAATCTCATAATAAACATCACCTGTGATGAGGATGGAGCTTTTACAATCATATAACTTTGATTAAGCTTCCTATTACTTACTCACTTTTATCGAATTTTAGGCCATGAAGCATGACCCTGTTGTACAGGTTACCATATTCGGTAGCACTTTGGCAGCTAAACTCCAGAATATTCAGCAGCGACCTCTTTAGCCATCATTTTTCATGACTTGACAATTCATGGGTTTCTCCATTCTCTTTGACATTTTTATCAACTCCCAACAACCTCTTAAATATACTTATATAATATGGTACGGTACAGTTAAATCAAAACTGGGTCGAAATCGGACGTCGACATCTCACAACATCATGCCAGTTTCCTCATTGCTAAAAAAAAAGTCCATTTCTTCCGAACCTGGGCCATAAAAACGTGCATAATATTTTTGAATCGATGAACTCAAAGCTTAGTTCATGACTCATTTAGTATCGTATATCCCAATGCAACTATATATAATTCACTGCTAGAAATAGGTTCCACGTGAAGAAATAACCAGGAACATGCTAAGGACTTCTTGGAAGTCATTTCGTCATAAATACCATGTCGTCCCCATGATTCAATAACCGCTGTTGCTGAGCAAAACGGCATTATTAGCAAAATAATTTATTCCCTGCAGACACTCTTCCACCTGAAACTTGGAGAAATAAATAGCGTAAATAATGTTTCATGGAGCGCTAAAAATAAAAGCAACCAAGTCAGCGAGGATACTGGACGTCTTAATTTCTTTCTGGACCATGCCAGTCCGACACGACATCATTAGAATCTCCAGCAAAAAGCATTTAATCGGAATGGTTCGGGATATTGACTCACTGCAGCGTCCAGCTTCCACCACGAATCCCTGGTTGCAATGGCATCTACGATCGCGGGCAGGAGACAAACAGAAGGCATTCGCCACGCACTCGTTTCTCAGTGTGCAATCCCCCCCAACTGGTACCTCTGTAAGTGGAGAAGAATATACTGTATAAATATGTGTGTGTGTTCAAAAAAGACGGCACAAGGGTCGACCGATCCAACTTTCTAAAACAACATCTACGCAAGGTACTCAACTTGACTAGCCATTAACCATCGACACCTCTGATTGTCGATTATGGAAATGTATGAAAGCAAGGCTTTCAAGTGATAGCGAAATGAGCCTTTGGGTGTTGAAAAGTTCCGCCAGGATCCTCATCAGGGGCACGGTTTTGCTGCAGCCTTCAGTGCAAATTAATCTTTTTCGGAGTTCCCGGTAGAGAGGGGAAGAGTTACAGGGTATGCCAGAGATGCCTGATATGAATTACGTATATGTGTTTATAATATTTGGTGCAAGTATACAATAAGCATTCATTAGAATGCTTAAGTATGGAAAATTTTATATTAAAAAAATATCTCACTTTATTCAAAAAACAATTATTAAAAATGATGTCGTGCAGATGGTCTCCATTCCGAGCTTCACATTACCTCTCTCGGAAAAGGGATCCACCTTATGGATGGTTTCCTTGACTGAGCTCATTTTGGATACGCAAGACTTTTTTCCCGGGAACTTTGAAGCCAACTGTATACCAAAACAAGCCTCCCACCCTGGGTCAACTCAAAGGTGACATGAGGAGGCCATTAACAAAGTTATGAAGAAGTTATGTGAGCAAGGCAATGCAAAGCTCAGAATGTGGACCATCTGCATGGCATCATTTTCAATAAATAATTGCTTGTTGAGTAAAGTGACATATTTTGGTTCTCATATTTATGATCTCCTGCACATATACTTGGTCTGATTTGCGCATATATTTAATTACTTATTTTTGGAGTAGGTACTCCAGAAACAGTATTTTCTGACCCATCCTGTAAAAGTGGAAAGAGTCTAGCTGAAAGGCTCTCAGATGACTGCACCCACAGCTCAAGCCCATCTCATAACCACCGCAATAGCACACTCCATTAGCTGGAGAGAGCTCACCCTCGTGCTGCTGCTAGGCAACCAGTGCAGCGTGTGCCGTGAAGTTGGATGCTCAGAGTAGCAGCACACCAACAGCCAAGGAGGAATTAAGCTCTACTGGGAACCACGCCCGTAAGATCAATGTACCAAGCTGAGAAAAAAAGAGCGAAAGAAAGGAGGAGTTCTGCTTCACTGGGAAGGTTTCTCTTATAGGTATGCTGCAATCCAAGCCTGCATGCGTACATTCGGCACAACGAACTCCTGCTCTTCAAGAAATAGCCATGCAAGCAAAGGGTACAGTAACCAGACTTCCTTTCAGCCATATTCTTTTCATTTTTAACTCTCCTTCGCTCTATCGGGAATCCCAAAAAAAAAGATTATCTGCTCTGAATTTTCATCAGGTCCGTGCCCATGATGAGGATCCCGCAAAACTTTTCAACGGCCAAAGGCTCATTTCGCTATCACTTGCTTCTAAACTATTGTCTTCTTGTTAAGTATTGAAGCCACCGAGGGCTTCAAACGATGCGGATTTCGCATTCACGAAATGTCTGCGATTCCCAGGAAATACTACTTCGGTTGGATCTCAAGGGTTTTGAACTCACTGCAGAGTCCTTCCTCTTCCACGAATCCCAGGTCACAAGCGCATCGTCGATTGCCACCAACGACCAGACAAGATGCATTTAAGACGCACGAACTCGTGTCCGTGCATTCCACTCCGACCGTGGCCTCTGCGCAGAGGAAAAATAAACCGGACAAGTTTCATTACGCGCATCAGTGATTCTATTCGCTGATGTTGCGTATGAGGGGGTGGATGGTGGGGGGATTGAAGAGAGGGAAAGCCTTTGAAAAATAGTTTTCACATTATTTTATCGTAATTATTTTTGCAGTATGAAGGCGCAGGAATTGACCGCACGATCGGTTCGCATTCATTTTAACATTGGATAATATGTACTTCAGAGAAGGGATTGACTCACTACAAGATCCTCCATCTGGCACAAATCCAACGTCGCACTCGCATTGCCGAGTGTTTCCAGTTCCCGTGCAGCTGGAGTTACTCACGCACTCGCTCGTTTGCATGCAATCGCCTCCGTTGGGTATCTCTGCACCGAGAAAGGAAATGCCGTGGACATCGTCTCGATGAGTGCTTCCGCGGTGAAATGTGGAATTGTATGCTTCGAGAGTCGTAGTTTTGCGTGACAGCGGGCACACGGTGATTAAACCCGCAAAATTATCAGCGACCATAGGCGCCTCAAAAGTGGGCACAAGCACACGCACGCAGGCAGGCGAACACGGGTCGGCGTGAGGTTGGATTCCCACCCCCACCCCCACCCCCCGCGCGAAAAATCGGACAGATCCCGAGAAAACATGACTCCGCTCATTTCTCGATTCCCGTTGCCATCGAGCGGAGGAGGGGGTGGGGCAATCACTTCGTATTTTCTTTTTTTTTGCCTCGTGAAACTTTGTGTGCCCGTGTCAGCGAGACCATCGCAATCTTCTATAAAATGCATTAGAGTGGAGTAATCAGAGATGACACACTGCAGAATCCTGCTTCGACTACGAGCGGAGAGCCACACACACAATGTTGATTCGGAGCGAGTCCTTCGCACGTGGCTTTATCGATGCATTCGCTCGTTTCCGTGCATTCCCCGTCGACTGGTACTTCTGCGGAGATCAAATCGAGTGGACGCGCTCAAATGGCGGCATGTCGCAATAATGTCGTGCAGATTCAGAAGGCGGTTCGGAATAATGACTCACTGCAGAGTCCCGCGTCCGCCACGAACGAAGCGTTGCACGCACACCGTCGATTTCCATCAGTTCCCGTCCAGAGGGCATCGTCGACGCAATCGCTCGCTTCCATGCATTCCCCTCCATCTGGAACCTCTGCAAGAAACAAAAACGGCAGAAATCGACACGGACGCGATTCGCCGCGTCAACGATGCGAGTCCCCAGATGCCTCCATCCACAGCGAAGCCGCGAGATGAGAGGATTCCGGCCTCTCTCCACGCTTACTTACTGCAACCTTCGGCGTCTGCCACGAATCCGCCCACGCAGCGACATCGTAGATCTTCGGCAGGGCCTTCGCAAACGGAGTTGTTCACGCACGCTATCGATTCCGTGCACGTACCTCCAGGCAGTACCTCTGCAAAACGAAAAACGGTCGATCGTATGAAATTGGCGCCGTAAGTTGGGCGTCGGATTGGGGCGTTCGAAGACGTCTCACTGCAGAAACTCCCTTCTGCCACGAATCCAGGTTTGCAATAGCATTCCCTGTCGCAGTCGGCGTTGTTCACGCACGCGGACGGTGGCAGGCAATTCTCTCCGACTGGGACCTCTGTGCGGGGGACAAGAGCGTGGACGTTGACGGGTGCGCCGAATGCCAGAATTTCATTCAACAAAAAAAAATTTCACGGTGGTTTCTCTTGAAAGTTCAAACACATCCTTGCAATTTTCCCTGAATAGAATTCCAGTTTTGGAACGTTGACTCACTGCAGAGTCCAGCTTCTTCCACGAATTCGGCATCGCACAGGCATTGTAAATTCTCAGCAGTTCCTCTGCACGTGGCATTATTCACGCACGATTTGCTATCTTTGCATTCCCCTCCAGCTCGAACCTCTGCAAGGAAAACGAAAACGACAGGCAATATTCGTCAGATGCATTCGCGACACAGTACCTAGTAGTGGAGGACCAGGGGCGTCCTACTTTTCCCCGCGATTTCTTTCTCACTGTATTTACTTACTGAGATTACTTCCTTCTTAAGTAAAGACTTACTACAATTCCAGCATTCGGAAGCTGGTACAGAGCTTCCCTCTGTACCTGCCTCCTTCTGTAGGGAGACCGAGACGACCAAAAACCGTCGCAACCAATCGAATGCCGCTCCCCGCGCAAGGGAGGTGGAGGCGGCGCGGCCTCCTGGCCTCTCATCATCTTGAGAAACAATTGCATCTTCCACATGAAAGCAGTTTCCTTCAGTTCCGGTTAATTTTAGTCTTCAGGCGCTTTGCTTCCTCTCAGATAAACCAGTTCCTTGCAGCCTATGAATCAATCTCGACAGGCACACAATAGACCTACATTTATTTCAACCTTTACGTTAAAATTCCTGCAAAATTCTGTTCATTCTATCCTTTCGCAAAGTGCAGCATTTTCATGCGGAGATGGAGGAGCTCCGCGCCTACCAAGTACTCCGCGGGTGAATTTTGCTCGCGCAAAAATACAACTCGAGTCGCCTTCGCGTTTTCGTTCCTGCGCTAAAATTCCTTTCCTGCGTTCCTGTTTTTCGGTGAAAAGCGAACAAGAATTTTAGGGCGTTTAAAGGATACGTAGAACTTGTAAAAAAAAATTGTTGTGTTATCTTCTATCTCATGAACTCCAATGAATCTCAAAAGAGCGGCGCGTTTTTTTTTGTCTCACTCGGTATGTACGCCTGGTGAGTCAGTCCCCTGAGGGCACGTACCTTCAAAGTCCAACTTCATCTACAGTATGCACCTATATGTTTTTCGTCCCGCTTCCTTGAAGACAGAAAGTGTGATAGTGGGTCAAGCCTACACATACGAAATCAGTCCCCCTCGAAATGTACCCCAGGGCGTGTGCACCCACTAAAGTTTCTCTATAATCTGCATTTGAGCAGATGTCCGTGTTCCCGATTCACGGAATGGAGAAAGTGGAAGTGAGGTGTAAGCCTAAGCATCCATCCACGGATTAGACGTAAGCCTACAAAATGAGCCATCCCACCCTCCCATCATTTGTGGCCCTAAGGCACCTAGTGGAGCGTGGGTCCGGCTACCTATGGCTCTCCCAGCTCCGTTTCTCTTAATTTCGTATGTTATATATCATCCAACTGAGGCGCCTTGAAAGTGTAGTTGAAAAAAAGAGTAGTCCCCACCCAAAGTGCCAATTGTGTGGACCTTTTTCCGTAGAATGCCCTTTTTTGTTTATGTTGCCAGTGACGTCTCGATTTTTGCTAAATATTTCCTTTGATGAACGTTCTTGATTCCAACTGGAATCGGATTCGCGAGATCGGTAGTCCCAAATGCCTGCGCGTATCAGCTACAATCTCAACTTTGGTTGAAATGTTGATTTGATTCGTTGCAATGGCTCCTGGTGGGTCACTGTTTTGGCACAATGGGTCAAACCTCTGTGCGCTTAATGTTTCCTTATAGTTGCCAATGCAGACCAGGATTTCCGATCTGATAAAGCGGAAGACTCTGAAGGGTTAAGCACCAGCAGATGTTAGATTTTTGGATGTGAAATGAATCTATATTAATATTCCGACAGAAGGTTCTTAATTTTTCCTGATGACTGGTGGAGTCCATCGTCATTCAATAGCATCTCCTCCTGCGATGAAAATACTTCTTTCTGTGATGACTTTGGGTCAACAGAAGTTCATTTTATCCATAATGATGGAAATGACCCATCGTGTCCCTTTAAAAAATAAAAAAGACTTCATCGCACGACACTCGTATGTCAAATTCGAAACACTGGATCGTGCAGGTGCCTTGAGTATTTACACACGGAGCCTTCAAGCTCATTCCGAGTTTCAGCCTCTCATCATTTCTAAAACATCCTCAGAATTATCACGAGTCACTCACGATCGTCTGTCCATCCATCCAAACTACCAGTACATTAGATACAATACGCTAAGGAGTTTTATGGTTGGTGTAGCTTCTAGCCGATGAAGCTTTGGTCCCTCGAGGACGTAGGCTAGGTAGCCTAAGTCCTGTGATGGCTGATGGGTCTACAAGCTTGAACCATTCCAGGACCTAGATTGGATGGGAAGGATTAAACAGCTTAATCCTGAAATGTATAGGCCTCGAAATTTTGCGCGTTATAAAGTAGGCTCTGGGTGAAATTTGACCCGGCTTGGTCGCGTGGGGGTTAACAATATGCGATGCGATGCGTAGGTCTGCACTGACCAAGGAGCTAATTGAAGATATTAATACCGAGAAGAGAGTTGCGTCAATCGGAGAGTAACACGAGTCTATTAACGCTGCGCGGAGAGCCGCGTTAATAGCCTCATCGCGTCGAACCTTTAACGACACTTTTTTTGCGTTGGCTATGGCGCCCAACGTCATTCCAGCCGTTTCGCACGATCGCGAGCCTTTAAAGGTGGAATGTTCTGTTGAGCATGGCTTTTCCTTTCGAAGCGGAGAGAGCTACACTTCGGCAGGGTCGTTGTCGCGATCGTGTTACGGTGAATTCGAAATTCCGTTCGAACCCATTGCAGTTTCCGCCAGAATCGAAAACGTTCCGAGTTGTCGCGAGTTTAACTGACGGTTCGACAGCGTAAGCGCGTCTCCTTCCTCTCGGTGCAACGGCTGTTGACATTACCGATAACGGTCCTCACAGCGTCGAAGCTTCTGGCGAGGTCTATCATTTCACTACGACCGTCTACATCCGTTTCATAATTTCGTTCCTGCGCTAAATGAAAATCAGGAACTTGCGTACGCTGAACTCTACGTTCATGATACGGATGAAGTGGTTCAAATTGCAGCGGCGCATCAAAATTCGGAACGGAAGTGCGTCACTGTTCATTACCGATGAAACACGTGGCATCGGCAAACAATTTCCGTCCACTGCACGAATTCACATACTGCATGGAAGTGGACAACGTTTTGAGCGTTGCGTGCCGACTGGTATTTCTGCAAATTTGCAGTCTGGTGGGATGAGGCGTCGCACGGCCTTCGACTGGCCAACGGATCTGCTCACGCATGAAACGTGTCGTTCGTTGCGCAATATTCAGGCGATGATTACCTACCGACAAACTAGACCTAGAAATTGGAGCTACGACTGTGTGCGGAGTCTTACGATTGGGAACGACCTTTGCAACGACAAGCCTATGACCGTGAGAGACCCGAGCGCAAATGTCTTAATACTAGGGGGGATTCAAATGAAAGGGGTAATGCCTGTTACTCGTAGTCTAAGGGCAGTGTAAGGTAGGGGACTATAAGTTCCCATTACATTTGAACACCCAGAGTCGAGGTGATCACGAATGCGCCGAGTGGCTGCGTTCACTTCATGCTTACAGTTTCACACGTGAACCTAAGTCGGCATACCGTTCCATCTTTGCCAACGTTAATTCTCTGTCGAGGACCATGGACAAGTCTCGGGGACAGACATTTCATCGAATCGGATTACTATTTACGGAGCCACTAGCCACGAATCACATTTGTACAGTGCCTGCTCGCGAGTTTGCCCTGAGCATTCCCCGAAGTTTCAGGTCATCGATGGACGGAAGCGGGGCAAAACTGATGCTGGCACTGTTACCGACGTTATCTTATACTTTAATTCGAAGAGCCCGAGAGTTATAGTGGTGGTGGGGATCGTCACCCGAGCGAGCAAGGCCTACTGTACATCACTATGTCACTTGAAGCCAAAGGCTAGGCCATTCACCTCTCAAAGCGCCAGATCCTTGAGGCGATGCTATTCTAGGCCATAGGCTTGGTCATCCAACGCATTTAGCGCCAGGTCCATCGAGATATATCAGTCTGAGCCATAGGCTTCATACTTAGCTGTGTCAATCAAAGGGTGGTATCTATAATAAATGAATGCGTGTCACGTTTTCACTGATCGACTGCAAGTTCTCCATCTGAATACATTCTTTGATCAAGTGTTTTTTTTCTGTATAAATACATTTATTTATTCCGTTAGATTTAATAAACGATTGGTGCTGGCGCGGAAACAACGTTTGCCACTGCAGTTGCGGTGCGAAGAGCCTAAATCGGTGCTTAAGGAGGTGCTAGCCATAATGGCTAGAATGAATGATGAGCAATACCCAGTTGCACGTAGGGAGCGTAAGGTTGAACAGCAAGAGGCAGCGAATGCTGTGCTCAGGAATAGGAGAGCCATACAGCCTGCTGGGCAACTTGATGCAAGGAACACAGCAATCAGGTGTCGAAAGTCGGTGGGCAGCCAGGAATTGAACCCGGACCTCTTACTTGCCAGTTAGGTGTGCTACCACTACACCACGGAACTCGGGACATTTTGTCAGGCCTCTCCATGTCATCTCAAATCGCTACAGTCGTTTGCGTAGCGAACACTGTCAGGCTGCACATTTTGCTGTAGGGAGGGGACATTTGTTTCACGTTGCTGCCACAACGGAAAAGTGTTTCTGCTGCAACTCACACTTAACTCTCACACTGTCGTTCACTGGTGCTAATGTGGAGGCGAGGCATTTTCAGGAATTATTCGTTAGTATTCTGCTGCACATGCGGTAAATTCCCTCTGCTAAAGTCGAAGAGGTTCTTGGAAATGACCCCGTACTGTTTCAGAATCAGTGGTACCTGTACCATAAGTTAATGCTAATAACCCATGAGCTAATCGGTGATGCAAGAGTATTGAATGTGCTGGG